CTGGTAAACTCACTGGGATTTCTGGGAGTTGTAGGCCAAAAACATCTGGGGAGAGACCCACAGGTTGAGAAACACTGATCTAAATGGTCCTTGAGGGCCTCCTAAGGTCACTACGTAGATCTAGACCAGTGGATCTCTCCCCAGGGGTTTGGGCCTACAACTCCCAGAAACCCTAACAGCTGGTAAACTCACTGGGATTTCTGGGAGTTGTAGGCCAAAAACATCTGGGGAGAGACCCACAGGTTGAGAAACACTGATCTAAATGGTCCTTGAGGGCCTCCTAAGGTCACTACGTAGATCTAGACCAGTGGATCTCTCCCCAGGGGTTTGGGCCTACAACTCCCAGAAACCCTAACAGCTGGTAAACTCACTGGGATTTCTGGGAGTTGTAGGCCAAAAACATCTGGGGAGAGACCCACAGGTTGAGAAACACTGATCTAAATGGTCCTTGAGGGCCTCCTAAGGTCACTACGTAGATCTAGACCAGTGGATCTCTCCCCAGGGGTTTGGGCCTACAACTCCCAGAAACCCTAACAGCTGGAAAACTCACTGGGATTTCTGGGAGTTGTAGGCCAAAAACATCTGGGGAGAGACCCACAGGTTGAGAAACACTGATCTAAATGGTCCTTGAGGGCCTCCTAAGGTCACTACGTAGATCTAGACCAGTGGATCTCTCCCCAGGGGTTTGGGCCTACAACTCCCAGAAACCCTAACAGCTGGTAAACTCACTGGGATTTCTGGGAGTTGTAGGCCAAAAACATCTGGGGAGAGACCCACAGGTTGAGAAACACTGATCTAAATGGTCCTTGAGGGCCTCCTAAGGTCACTACGTAGATCTAGACCAGTGGATCTCTCCCCAGGGGTTTGGGCCTACAACTCCCAGAAACCCTAACAGCTGGAAAACTCACTGGGATTTCTGGGAGTTGTAGGCCAAAAACATCTGGGGACCCACAGGTTGAGAAACACTGATCTAAATGGTCCTTGAGGGCCTCCTAAGGTCACTACGTAGATCTAGACCAGTGGATCTCTCCCCAGGGGTTTGGGCCTACAACTCCCAGAAACCCTAACAGCTGGAAAACTCACTGGGAAGGCTGGTAAACCCACAGCCTCCCTGCCTCCCCCCAAGGGCCGGCGGGGTCCTCTCTGCCACTCTGCGAGGGAGGGAGGGAGGGTCAGTCTCCTCACGGGTTCCACCCTTCAGGCATGCGTGGAGAAAGCTGTGCTCCCCAAGGAAGGAAGGAAGGAAGGAAGGCAGGAAGGCAGGCTGGCTTTCCTGCCCGGAATCCCTCAGACCGGGTGGCGGGGAGTGTCCCCCTCCCCGTGTGGAGGCCTGGCCATGCTCCAGGCAAGGGTGGGGGCACTCTCTCCTGACCTTCCCCCCACACAGAACCCGAGACTCGGAAGGAAGGTACCTGGGGGCCCCTTCAGCCCACCCCCAGGGTAGGCAGGCCTGTGGGCTCCTCCGAGGTGGGGAGGGAGGACTCCTGGGAAGGAGGGAGGGAGGGACAGGGCCATGAATCCCTTCCCAGCCACTTCCAAGCAAGGCTTCTTTCTACTGCCATTCCCAGGGGGAGGGAGGGAGGGAGGGAGGGAAAGAAAGGGGGCCTCAGGTCACAGGAAAACATTACTTGTTATTATTTATCCTGTCAGGAGAAAACCACACAGTTGTATTATTATTATTATTATTAAATAATTGTATTACATATCTTGACCAACAGACAAACAAAACACAAACTTTGCAAGCTTGTTATTCTATTAAATGTCCCTTGACCAGTTCCTGGCCCCTTGCAGTGCCGACTCTGGTGTGGCCGCAAGGAGGTCCTCCCTTGTGCAGTATGTGGAAGCAGGGCTCAGGGTGCATTGCAGCAGGTGGTCAGTGGTTGTCTCTTCTCCACACTCGCATGTTGTGGATTATTCCACTTTGTGACCCCATTTCTTGAGGTTGGCTCTGCATCTCATGGTGCCAGAGCACAGTCTGTCCAGCGCTTTCCAAGTTGCCCCATCTTCTGTGTGCCCAGAGGGGAGTCTCTCATTGAGTATCAGCCATTGGTTGAGATTCTGGGTGTGAGCCTGCCACTTTTGGACTCTCACTTGCTGAGGTATTCCTGCAAGTGTCTCTGTGGACCTTAGAAAACTATTTCTTGGGACATAAACATTGAGACATACAGATTCTAGGCAACTGCATTGGATTTACAACTACATGGCTAAGAAGTAAAGGGGAATTACATGTGCACTCACCATTCACACACATGTACATGCCTCCATGCTCATGCTCCCAAATATTATCCTATCCTTTTCTCCCTCCTTGGAGAAGAACACCTGTTCGGCCAGACCCTACTTCCCTGCAGCCTCACAACACACACTTCCCAAACTTCTTTCCCTGAGAACAATGCCAAGGTTTGGCAATTGCCCCCCTCAACACTTTGACCTAGGA